CTTGTGAATCCCCCGCGAAGGGGTTTGAGTAAATTGACTTGTTGATCCCCTGCGAAGGGGTTTGAGTAAATTGACTTGTTGATCCCCTGCGAAGGGGTTTGAGTAAATTGACTTGTTGATCGCCGTTTAGGGTTTGGGGTTTAGGGTCTTTCAAGGTATTTCAAGGTTGAATGTTTTCACATGAGACACACAAACCCCAAACCAAGACGAATTTCACGACGATTTGAAGCCTAAACCCCACAAGGAGGAATGGCCTCTACTGTAGAGTTTTGAGGGGTGGAGAGGGAGGGGCGGGGAGCGCATGACCAATCATGACCACGTATGCAGGGCTGCTTTTGCTGACTGACTCTTGGCCACCAACGCCCGACAAACAACTGAACCTTTGCCCACGAGTAAGTAACAGAGTCAGAAGCCCTCCGGCCCAAAATGGTCCGACGATATCGAGGAATCACGCCCACCACCAACATAGCTGAGAGTGACGTCATAATCTGACCCGAGATACACGGATGCTAAGTCATTTCTTCGTCGCCAAGTTGAAGATCACATGCATCTCACAAGGAGGGAACTCTTTGAATTCTTGCTCCTGCAAGGTCACGTTGGCTCAGGTGCAGAAGCAACTAGTTGGGGAGCGGCTGTTCCCGGCAATTTCCAAGCACCAGCCGGAGCTGGCAGGCAAGATCGCAGGCAAAGCGAACTTGTTGATGGGGTGCTCGTATTTAGGAGCTTCTGTAGAAGTGACCCGAAGCAACTCGAAGCGGCATGATCCGAACATACATCATTTCCGAACTGTTTTCTAACAAGTTTTGCAATCGGAGAGCTTGCTCCAGGCATGATGCTCGAGATGGACAACTCCGAGCTGTTGATTCTGTTGGACAGCGAGCCCCAGCTCAAAGCCAAGTCTCGCTGCTTGGCAGAGCTTGGCTTTGCATGGCTTCGCGAGCTGCCGTGCTGGCCAGGTGGACGAAGCAATGCGGGTGCTCGAGCAAGCCAAGCCACTGAATTGCAAAAAAAAGGCCTTGCAACGTTCGAGCTCGGGAACATTGAAGAAAATGTCACCCCATTACGGGGTGTGGTTTGGGCTGTGGTCTAACATGCCTGCTCTGTGCGTTCTCAACACACGAATAGGATTTGTTGAGCTCTCTTGCCTCCCAGGTAGAGCATGCGATATCCATTGCCAGTGCCTTGGAAGACATTTGTCCGCATGTTTTGCCTGGGCATGCGCCGCGTCAAGGTCGGACCTTCGGGGCGACAGACGATGGATGGCATCCAGGACGGGACAAGGGTTATATGGAGCAAAACTAGACAATCTGTCTTCTGTTTGCAGGAGAGAGCGAAGTGTCGACATGTGACGGCTTTGGCACCATCCGGTACCCTCGACGGCTGTCTTTCGTGTCGCACGCTTGTGAGTGCCAGCAAGATACAAACAAGTATCTAGGCAAGCGGGTGGCAAAGGCAATAACTCGCAAAGGTCACGCCACGCGGAACAAACAAGAGGTTATGAGTAAACAATGGAATGTGTTTGGCTCTGAAAGATGGCTGTTGCAGGGAGCGTGGCTCCTCCAAGCATGCAGAACCATGAAACTGGCTCAATAGTTTAATAGTACACTTGTTGGGGCATACTGGCCGGCGGCAGTTTGTGAAGCATGCCAGATGTTCTGAGCCCCACATTTCAAGGGTCTGGATTCCGCAGACCTTTTTGGGGATTGATTGCAAAGCAAGGACTTCAGCCGCCTCAGACGTTTCGACTGGCATGCCATGGTTGGCAGCATGGGATTTCCACTCGAACCTTTCCTTCTTGTCTCACCCGTATTTGCTGGGCAGCCACAGCTTTCATCGACTTCACTTTCCAGCTGGTCCTACCGGGTGAAAGTTGCTTACATGTCCAACAAGTCTACACTATCGGGCCGAGGCTGGTGTGGCTTGATGCCGCACC